CTTCTTCTTCTTCTTCTTCTTCTTCTTCTTCTTCTTCTTCTTCTTCTCCTTCTCCTTCTCCTTCTCCTTCTCCTTCTCCTTCTCCTTCTTCTTCTTCTTCTTCTTCCTCCTCCTCCTCCTCTTCCTCTTCCTCTTCCTCTTCCTCCTCTTTTCAAAGTTACCCATTCTTGATGTCTTCCTCCTCTTTCGCATGTGGTGGACTCTGAACCATTATTTCTCAACTTTGGCAATTTTAAGTCTTGTGGACTTCAATTCCCAGAATTCTGGGAGTTGAAGTGCACACATCTTAAAGTTGCCAAAGTTGAGAAACACTCTCTGAACATTCCAACAAACTGGGTAACAAAAAAGACCCGAGTTAACTTCTCCTTTCTCACTAATCTTGAGCAAATTATGTGGGTGCTGTGGTTATGCCTATTTGCAAATTGTGTGTACCTGTATATATATATTTGCTTTTCATTATCGAGTACATAGAGAGGGGGAAATAATTTATGAGGTTTGTAGGGAGAGAGGCATTGTAATTGCTGCGCAATTTTATCAGTAAGATATAGTAATGCTCTGAAAAACTCCATTTTTACAGGTTTTCCCCATAGTGCTTTTTCTGAGTTATAGTGCTATCTACCCATTCTGGACTTAGCAGAAAACAATGCCAGTTGAAACTGGCTATCCCAATTTCAGCTCCTTTTTTGCCTTGATTAATTCCCTTCTCAGTCACTATTCCTTCCAGTCTCTTGACTTCCATCCAAAGTGAGAAAATCTTACAGGTTTTGCACACTTTAAGTGTCCTTGAATGATGTTGAAACAAGAGGAGAAATGCCTCTTTATCACTGGTGCAATGAAGGACATCTTAATTCTCTCTATGGAGTCCTTGGTGCTCTCTGAGCTTGGTTATTGCTGGCAGATATTTCATTACCAGACTAGGTAACATAATCAGTGCTGGTGAGTGTTGCGTTTGCTTCCTGCTTATATACAATAGGTTGCCCTGCCAGGATTGGTGTGGGGGCTGCGGTTTTCTCTTTTGCAGTTCTTTGATTGTTCTCTGCTTGATTGTTCAAGGAACTACCAAAGGGAGAAGAAGAAAAAAAAAAACCACACCCCGCCAAGATTGGCAGGGCAAGCTACTCTATATAAGCAGAAAGCAAGCAGAACACTCATCAGCACTGATAATGTTATCTGGTCTGGTAATGAAATGTCTGACAGCATACAGCCAAGCTCAGAGGGCACCAAGGACTTCACAGTTCAACTCTGAGCTATGTGTGTATTCTCCATTAATCCTGTCTCCCATATTGTCTGGGGATGAGATAGGGGCAATATCAATGGCAAAAGAGGTCTCACCGCATACATGTGGTAGGATTAGTTATCCATGGGGACATAGCCTATATATCCTCTGGAATAATATTTCCAATAGCTGCCTCTAGGTATCCACATCCAGACATACACCACTTTGCAAGTAAGCATTTTCAAGTCTATTGAAAGAAAGCATTTTTATATAAGGAGCACAGCATACAGGAATAGTATTTATGTGTCTTTGGTTAAATAAAAATAATATTAGTGATGACTAGTGATGCATATATGCATGCATGTATATATGTGTGTGGTTTTTTTGTATAAACATGTATGTGTGTACGTTTACATATACAACATGTATGCCTGTGTACGCATGCACCTGCGCCCATACAACAGTATATAACATTTCAATTTATACAGCTCTTGATTTTAAATTAGTAAATTAGTCAATCATATAAATCATATATATGTTATTAAACAAAAGAAAAAGAGACCCAGGTAAGTTTGCATCATGGGCAAAAGATATCTCTTGAATATCTTCTTTCTTAACCTCTCTGTCAAAAGAAACCTGAGCCAGATGTTGACAAACAATATATATTGGCTGTTGGCTGCAGCAAATGAGGTGTAAATTTATTCTTCCACTGCTGTGTAACATCGGGCTCTTCTGTATGCAAGAAACAAAGCAAAGGTGTGTCGATCTATTTCTTTTAACTCAGCATTGGAAATAGATTCCTTGGGAAGATTAAAAGTTCCAGTAATCACATGGGGGCAGGGCAGGGTTATGGTTTATGACCTTGAGGGCGGCAGAGTGATTTTCTTCCAGCACTGTGAGCTTGAATCCTTTTAGCTGGAGATGCTGCCACTGAACAGACCTTGGGCTTATGTCCTGGATTAGCTTCCAATTATGCAGGTAGTCCTCAATTTACGACCACAATTGAGCCCAAGATTTCTGTTGCTAAGCGAGACAATTATTAAATGAGCTTCTCCCATTTTACGAACTTTCTTGCTACTGTTGTTCGGTACATCACTGCAGTTAGTAACACGGTTGCACTTAACACAGTTGTTAAGCGAAGCCGGCTTCCCCGTTGACTTTGCTTGTCAGAAGGTCGCAAAAGGGGATCACAAGACCCCAGGATCCTGCAACCATCGTAAACACGAGTCAGCTGCCAAGTGTCTGAATGTTGATCTCGTGACCATGGGGATGACCTAGCTGTGAAAAATAAGTCATGTCCTTTTTTTCAATGCCGTTGCAACGGTGAAGTCAAGGGCTACCCACAGCTAAAGTTCAAACTTCACAGTTCTAGACTTTGCAATTTCTGTGACTTGTATCGGTTGCTTAGGATGAGTTTTTGAGAAGCTTCTCCAGTTCTGATGTACTCCATCTTGATATTGTAGGAAGCAGCTATGACCATCCTAGATTAGTAGGAGAACACCATTTTGGGCGGTAGAAGGTCTCAGGAGGAATTCCCAGAGTATCGAAGAGGGCTGAAAAATATTCTTCCTGAAGTTACCAATTCTGGGCTGATGCTCTTGGGTTAAATATGTCAATGATCTGACTTAGTTTGAGGCAGCTTTCTATTTTTCTAATCTAATGTCAGGGAACCTACCTGTACAGCTAAAGTATCGCTGGAGGTCGTCTACTTCAACCTTTGCCTCGCTACAGGATATACAGCAGGGGTGTCCAACCTTGGCAACTTTAAGACTTGTGGACTTCAACTCCCAGAATTCCTCAGCCAGCTTTGCTGGCT